GGGGGGGGGGGGGGGGGTCAGGGGGGTACGCGGGATCGTCACATTTGAAAAACGGACATCTCGCTGCGCTAATCCACGCGGTTGCTCGTGGTCGAGAATCCTGCGATTCTACAACGAGGAGCTGGCACCGAGATTGTTTGCGCTATGTATGACAACCTGTTTCTTTATATCCTCAAGTGCCTCTCTTCGAGGGTGTACAACGTAGGTCGAGGTCTTCACATGACGGCCTTTCTTTGGTGTCAATAGAATCTAAATTTACTCGGAAACATGGAACAAATATTCATCCACACAGGACCCGATCCGCAGGGTATTCGTCCATTGGCTTTACCAGCATAGGTACACCTTCGCATATGGCGTCGTCGGCTTACCGACGGCCGTGCGGAATGTGCCGCTGAAAAGAGGCCGAATCCTGTCGGTGTGGTGCAGAACCTTCGATGCAACACAGCAATGTACATCTGGTGATCTGTCCCTCTCTTTCACGTTTCTCCTTCGTGTCTTCCAGCAAGGTTGCGCGTCGTCGCACCTCCGTGCGCGATAAAACTTTAATGGCTAAATGATTTAATTCGATTCCGCACAGGGTCCGGAGTCACCGCACAGAGGTGCGATGACTCGCAACCTACATGTAGGGGAGTTGAGTGCCAGCGATTCCGGGGTAAGTTTCACCCCTGGCACAATGCCGGTGCTGGCATGTTAGCTCTGCTGTATGGGTATGTATGTCATCGTCGCACACCACACGTGGAGGAATGAAGGAAATGAAAAAACATCTAGTAGTTCCATTGCATCGGTAAACTTGAACATTGTCCATTCAAATAAAACGCGACAAGGAAAAATAACAGCCCTAAGCCAAAGGTTGTGTTTCGCGTGGGGGGCACAACTCGACAGGGGTAAATTATGGTTTACGCCCGCGAGATTTCGTATTTCGCCGCGTTTGACAAAATGTTGAAAACACGACCGCACGTGGGTGTGCTGACTCGATAGCTTGCGGTAATCCAGGTGTACGTTTCCAACGCACTACACCTCCGTCTTTCTTCTCTCGACCTCCGATTAAGCTTTAAATGTTCTGCATCTACGACTCGACGATGCTCTCACCCTCTTGCCCACTACCGTAAATGACACAAGATAACATACTCCATCGACCGATTTTCCAATCTGGATTTCCCAACAGCAGAAAGAGTCGCAGCACCGAAAACGGTGGCGTTGAAGCCGTCTGGTTGAGAGCTTTCCGAAAATGTGTTGGTTCATGTACGCATCCATCCTCTTCGTCGTGGCGTAATCGAGCTTCGAAAATCGGTCCAGCGGGTATGTTATCTTGTGTCATACACGGTACGCCACAAGCTCTGAACACTGCTGTACTCGCTGAGCCCCCGCCGATGTGTCCAACACCACCGGACGCACCTTGCGTAAGCCGAGTCGATGGTGGGGCTACCCTTGGGGTCGAGCACACTCAACGGGGTGCCCGACATGCTCCGTACCGCAGTATAGCGACCAACAGCCTGTTCGCAAGAAAACGCCCCAAAAGCACCCACAACGCCATCCCGTCGCCGGCCACCAGGGAAGGGTAGGGTCGAGTGGTCAGGGTTGTGCAGGTGTTACATGCAGTGTGGAGGGGTGATCATGACATGAAAGATGAGGGATAGATGGTCGGCAGCGCAGGAAGTTTGGCTTTGCGACGAACAGAAGGCGCGATTTCGTATACTTCCGGGTTTTAGATTGGAATCACTACTTGTAATGTTGTACCAGGCGTCATGCGTGTCCGGGCGAGAACGCTACCAGGCTTTAGTGCACACTTTTGTACCGAATGTTCCAGCAGGTTTGCACACAGAATACGGTACAGACTCCAAAATCGCCCTCATTCCCACACGACGTTTCCGTCTGTGTTCATGGGCAAACAGAAGGCGGAGAGATGACCACGTTGCCGAGTGTGTATCATTAGTATTCGAATCGAAACATATCTACGCATATGCATATGCGTACATACGCTTCCGACGACGGCGGTCGACGCGACGCCCGTCCTGCCAATCAACGACGTTGCAGTGATGAGGTGAACGAAATATCGTATTTCCGTATATTTCCACTCCAAATGTTCGTCGGCAGGAAATCCAAGCGGACTGGTCAAGAGACTAAAGCAGCATGCATGGAATATTTATCATCGGGACACCCGCAGCTCCCTCGTCTCAACCAATGGCCTCCCTCCCTCTCTCTGTGCGAGCATGCGCATATAGCTTCATCATGTCTGCAGTTCTCAAGAGCGTCGAGGTCCGCAGTTTACTTTCCTTGTCATCCTGTCATGTGTCCCATCATTTCATTTGATGAGAACCTGTTGCACCTACAACTTGTACTGCTCGAGAGGGCGGCCAACCTTGTCCCAAAACCTGCCACGAGGCACAGCAGCAGTGTGGCCGCTGTATTCTTTTGGGGCTCACGCGAGCCATGAATGCACATGCACCGCTCGGTGCCCACACATCCTCCATGAACACCGAAGGAGTGCGGGAGTACAAAACCAGTCAGAAGTTGTTTGGTAGACCTTCAACCACTTTTCAAGAAGTTGCCAAGCCGTTGCCGTGGGGTGCGACCACGAAAAACGCTGAACCGGGAGCAAGGAGTCGATGCGCGCGGTCCCCTCGAGGGTTGGCAACTACTGACGTAAACGTCCGCCTCCGACGTGTCACGCTGTGAAGTGTCATCGCCGGGAACAACGAGCGAGAGCAGACAGTTTTTTGGAGGGTTCTGCCGTCGTAGATAGTAGCGCAGCCTTATTCTTCTTGCTCCACGTAGTGTCCCGCGTAACCGATCATTTGGACACCGCTGGCACAAACGCTTGAAATGTGCTTACGCACGCACGGATTGCCGCGCGGTTGCAGTCTCTCGCACGAGCAGTGCCATGGAAACGAAAGAAGCTGTTTCAAGCGATTGCAAAGCAGATTGAACCTGTCCAGTCGAAAGCAAAAGCAAAGGTCAACAGTGCTGCTTGCTGAATCACCAGAGGTGCCTCTACCTGCACCTGAGGTTCGACAGCAGTTGAGCAAACTTTTTCACCTTACGGCCGCTGGCGAAGGCACGAGCTCTGATCATGGCTCCTGCTGTTACCCAAGCTTCTCCTGCTGCGAAGGTCACAGGGGGTTCTGGTGGAGAGGGTGATGCTGATGTGCTGTGTGCTGCACCGGGACGAAAGTTTTAAGGAACTACCGCGAATGCACTGGACCCACCAGGAACGAGGAATAGCGAGGAAATGAGGGCAAAGAAAGGCCCTATTCACCAAAATCGCGAAAACCAAGGTGGAGGGCTTGTGCATACCGTTTACGGTAGTGATTCCGCGTCACCCCCAGGTGGGAGCAGCATCCGATGGTGATGTTGATGTGCGCTTTTGTTGTTGCATTTTGCGGCCTTGCTACTGCTGTGGTTCATCACGCCGTTGATGGAGGGAGAGGAGAGGGAGTCATCTACTGTTGTAGGCGGTGGATATCCGAAGCCAGCTGAGGCTGGAGCAAGCACAGCCGACGAGGAGACTGCGGAGATTAATGTTTGTTCTTCAACTTCTTCGTCAACATCACTGCCGCCGCCGCCAGCAACAACAGCGACAGCATCAGCCTCATCGACACCCGCAGCAATAGCAGCACCTGCAGCATCAGCAGCAGAAAAAGTAGCAACAGCAGCAGCAGCACCAACAACAACAACGGCACCGCCAATAATAGCTACAGCAGCAGCAACAGCAGCAGCCGCCGCAGACAATGCTGTCGATGCTAGTTCCGCCGCATCCGATCCCGTGCTCGGAGTGAAGGAGGAGGAGGTGGAGCAAGTGACAGCCGCAAAAGAGGATGGGGGCGCTACATGCACAAAGGAAAGGGACGAGGAAGAAGGCGTGGCGGCGGTCCGAGTTAAAGAAGCGCCTTCGGCAGTACCACCGTCGCAAACTGATGAGCTTCGGAAGGTGTGGGGGTAATAGCGTGTGGCAGTGTTTATCCTGCGGAAGACGCCCAGATAAGCGACTACCATTCTGAACGAGAGACAGCCGCGACCCCCCCCGTAGACAAATGGTACTCAGCTGGCTTGCGCTGTTGCGATGGCTACCAACAGGGATGGGTGTTTTGTGAGGCTTGCCTGCTTGTGGTATTGTCAGAATTTATTGTTGGCAGACGGATGCGGTTATGTGTACTTCCACCGCACGCGGGCAATCACGTCGTCAATCACGGTTACGCTGTAGCCCCACTTGCTGTCTGGACATACTCACGTGAAGGGCTTCATGTCGCATATAGTACGTCCAGCAGTGGTTGCAGATACATGTTCCCGGCATTTCCTTCTTATCTCATTTCAAAGAAAGGCGCGCTGCAGCACCACCTCGTTGAATCTCATCTACCTTTGTGGAAATTCTGTCGCAACTCTTGCAAATCTTGTGTTGCGTTTATGCCAGGTGGTCATGACTACCAACATCCTCTCAATTGAGGGTACAGCTGCTTGTTTCAAGGGCCACCAAGCCGGAATACCCCAACAGCAGTCAATTTCTCGACCGCCGACACCTTGTTACTCTTTCCTTGTAGATTGGCGTCTGTCTCTCTCGTATCCTCCCCGGTACGCTACCGCCTCGTTGCTGACCTCTCGATTCAGCCACCCGCTGACAAATACACGAGGAATTTCGGTTACGTCTTCCCACCCGTAGGCTGCGATGTTAAGTCGTTTGCTGATGGTGCCCTGCCCCCGTGCTTATGCTCTTCTTGCACACCGGTAGGCGTTGGTGGGGTTCTACAGCGTCCACAACCCGGGCAGGATAGCCAACCTAGACGCCATCCTGACGCAGTACGCGGGTAAGGAAGGGTTGCTGATCGAGCGCCTCGAGCACAAGTACTCGGCCGACCTGTCTTACGCCAGGCGAGCGCCAGCAACGGCACCGATAACACCGGAAGGGGGGATGCCACCTCCTGTCTCCGATCACCACAAGCCTCTGGCGGCGAGATCACAACACCAGCAACAGCAACCACAACAACCAAGGCCGACAAGCTCGGCGGCAGCAGATGGAGCGGGGGCCGCAGCGCTGTCCCAATCCCTCTCACTGCAGCCCTCGATTGCCCCCGCCCCAACACCAACCCGGGAAGCTCTCTCGGCGCACGGGGGAGGAGGAGGAGGGGGGGGGG